TTTTACCTGTAGGTTAAAAACATTTACTCAATTTAAGCATCTGTTTTTAAATAAATGTAACTTCACAGTTGCATCTTCAGGATGGAGTTTGTCCTTTTAAGACAATTCAACAATGTGTATGACTATCTTTTCTGTTCTTAAACAAATCTAAAATTGCCTTTGGGATATACAGATGTTTATACTATGCTTGCTTGGAGAGAGCAGTTTATTCAGTTCAGGTGGAAAATTTTTAATGACCTAAAAAGTTTCTTAAACATCACAGCCTTTTTTAAAAAAAAAAAAAAGCCCTTTGGTGCATTTCTCACATCATTTTAGTTCAGTTAGTTCAGCCTTCATAACATTTAGTCAGTGGTACACATCATGGTTTCTCATTCCTTTTAAAAAAATCGCAAATTCTTGGTTCATACAGCTTATTCATATTATAACATTATCATTAGCTTATGTCGTGTCAATCAAAATTAACTATCCTTCTGAATGCTGAATAGTTATTTCATATAAAACTAACAGTTCTTCTTTAATTGCCTTATTCATTGGATACAAAAATGTTGGTTTGAATATTGTGAGTTTTCACCACTGAAATGCCTTCAGACAGCAGTTTGCAGCCCGGAATAGGACGCTGGTGGAATATCTTCCTTCCTAATCACTATTCCTTATTCCAGTAAAGGAGTTTTTCACCTCCTGGAAGTTGAAGGTATATGACCAGTGTGGTGTAGATGGATCTATGTGACTAGACAGAGGAATATCTGGATGTGCATGAATGATTTACAGTTCTATGCATGTTTTATGTCCTTTCCAAAATGGACTGCAATACTGTTAGTCATTGTGCACAGCTCTACCCAAAAAAAGGGTCATTTATGTTGTAAAAAGGTTGTATATCTTTTGCTTTGCAAATGCTGTAAATAAATCAGAATTGCAAAGAGTAGGAGCAGTAAAAATCTAAAAATCTAAATATTCCATGTTTGCACTTAAAAAATTTATTTGTACCTTTACTGTAGTTTTTAAATTGTTGTCTGTTTTGGCTAATGGTTCACAGCTGTGGCTGTAGCTTAAAAGAGCTCTGCTTACAGCACTTCAGTGCCAGAGTGTTTACCAGTGAGGTATGCTTCTAACTGGTCTTAATCCGCCAGAGTTCTTCCTTCCAAAGAATTTTCTTACAGTGTTTTTGTGAGCTCCTTCTCATGTTGCCTCTTTGTTCCTGGATTCTGTCTCCAGAAGCTCCTCGGTTTCTGAAGACCATATTCAAGTTTTAAATCAACCACCATGCAGTCGTACCAGCTGGCAGCCTCCTGATCATCACCTCCTCTGGGCCCCACCGCTAATCGAAACCGTGCTCACCCTCCAACAGTTATCTCTTTAGTCAACCTCCTGCTGACCTTGGTTCAACCCTAGATGTCACCTGGTTCAGACGCATTACTTCCAAGCAGTTCACCCTTGAAGACCGGTTCCAACCTCCAATCACATTCCACCCCCATTAGACTCAACCCATTCCTTCTTGGTGATTCCATCTCTAATCACCAGTAAGCAAAACCTCTTTTTCAAGATTCTTTCAATCCATTTCATTTTTATCCTCCCTGTCTCCCTCTATTATACAGCCGGATACTCGTTCCTGTTTCCTCAGTCCTGGACCTCCTTCCTGATCTCAATAAACATTTCTAACCTTTTCTTGACTCTTGGGTGTGCATGCATATACTAATTCAAGTAATGGAATCAGATTGGATGTGAAAAATTTTGGATTGTTAGTCCATAACAATAAAATAAAGTGGATTTTGGAAAAAAATAAAATGGCGTATCCCTTCCTTTCACAGCCAAGTTATTCACTATTTGGTGCTGGTCTATTAAAATCACAATAAAATATAAAGATTATGGTTACAAGCCAATGAAAAGGAGGTTTCTGAATATTTTTTTATATATATGTATATATATATATATATATATATATATATCTGACAGATTAATGTTGGTGCTTTTATCTCTCTCATTTAAATGAACTAAAAAGAAAAAAATGAAAAGTGTTTCATGTTTTGTGTCTTAATGTATTTAGTCTCCCTGATCACTTTGAACCACTACAGATAAATTATATTTTACCATTTCTGAGAAGTATCGGCCCTCCTCACAGCGTGGGTAGCAGACTTTGTCCCTCAGAGTGCTCCCCGAGTCGCATGTCAGGCAGCCTTGAGGCGAAGCATCTGAAATCACATGTAATCACACTATTCTTACACAAATGGGAAAATGTATCCTCAAACATTGACACATCAGAAAGACAGGTGGTTGATCCTGTAGATGGAAAATACAGCTTATCATTGACTTAATCAGGAATAATATATATAACACATCAAGCCTGTACCTGTGCAAGTCTGACAACTGGTATGGCACTGTTTGCAGATGTCATCAACCTGATAGAAGCGGTGGGGGCAGCGTTCGACACACAGCTTGGTGCCTTGTAGCTCCAACAGAGGAGGGAGACAAGCCCTGCAGGATTCAGGGCCTGGTCCTGAACACAGCTCGCAGGACGGGTCACATTTTTGGCAGTGAGAGCCCTGTTTGTAATACCTAAAGAAATACATAGATGACAATTTAGTACAAAAAACATATACATACATATTTATATATCCATCCATCCATCCATCCATCCATCTTCTCCTGCCTATTCAATCAGGGTCATGGTGCGGTTGGTGCCTTTCTCCGGCAGTCTATGAGCGAGAAGCGGGGTATACTCTAGATTGGTCACCAGTCTGTTGCAGGGCAATACAGAGATGAACAAAGCCATACAATCATTCACGCACACATTCACACCTAATGGCAATTGAGAGCTGCCAATCAACCCAACAATAATGTTTTTAGACTGTGGAAGGAAGACCCGGCGAGAAACCACACATGCACAGGGAGAACATGCAAACTCCATGCAGAAAGACCCTGAACTGACCCCAGCATGTGTCTGATTTGAAAAAAAGCTGATGACATGTGCTGCCTTTCAACCTAATCACAACTTTGGATGAAATTTTGATTTCAGAAGTGAGGGGACACAAGTATTTTTTAATATAACTAACTTCAGCGTGTTTGACCATCCAATTACAGACCCGATTCAAAAAATTTATGTAAAGTGAGGTTCTGAGGAGTGACAACGGTGACAGACAATCACACAAGAAAAGATGGAGGGCCATTCATGAGCTTGTAGGCGGTCTAAACTCAGGGAAGCGGGTTTCAGCTTGAGCTGCAGTTTTCAACTTGGTCCTAGTGCTCGATGAATGTCTTTGTACTGTAACATTGTTTTTGGACAGTAAAACGTGCAGGAGACCAAAACAGACTTTTGAAAAAGTGCAGGGGACATGTTCCCCCCTGTCCCTTTTAAAAATGACATCAATGATCATAACCCTTCAGTGCGAACTAAATTTAATCAGATCAAGCTTCATTTTCTTACCCCGGGGGACAGTGGAGGACGCAGAGCTGTAAGAGCCTCAGGTATCCAACAGAGCATGTCAGGCAGTCTCGAGGTGAAGCCCCAGTGCAAGTGGAGCAGACATGGTCACAGGGCAAACAGAGTCCCAGCTCCTGTCCATCAGCTTCCTGCCTTGTGGAGTATGTACCAGCAGGACATTCATCCACACAGCTACTGTCTAGAAAATAAAATAAAAATATATATATATATATTTCATTATGGTTCTCAGGATTCTTCTGCATCTCTTCTTCTTATTGTGTATCAAAAAAACCCAAAACAATTCTGTATGAGTTGTCTATCTTAACAGCCCTCTAAGGTGTGGTAGAAAATCTTTTTTTGTATAAAACAAAAAACGGAAAACCATAAAAAAATGATTAAAACTGCACAGTAGATGCTAATACTACGACTACATTGGAACGGAACTTTCAATGAGCTGCAAACATAGAGCTATATATAACAGCGGCTGGCTAGCTCAAGTGGTAAGTCCCCTGTCCTGCCTTAGGAAAGATGCTTTACGCTAATGTCTGCTTTCAGGAGTGGAGGCCTAGTGGTTAGGGCGTTGCGCTTGGAATCCTGAGGATCTGTTTTCAAGGCCCACTAACACAGACTTCCACTCTGGGTCTCTGAGCAAAGACCCTTAACCCCACACTTCTCCCCGGGCGCCGCACAATGTCAGCCCATTGCTCCCCAATGGGATGGGTTAAATGCAGAAGCGCTCTCTACCTGTGACAGTGTAATGACAATAAAATGCTGGAAAACAAAATATCATTATTAAGCCAATAAGAAAAGTGGGAGGTATGTGAAACCAAACAGAGCCTTGCAGCTTCTATAGAACTTGAAAAGGTAAATAAGCACATCCTTTAAAATAACATGGTTATCAAGCATGCACTTCAATGTTTTTAATTGGTAAGAAACTTGAACCTTATCTATACAGCAAAAAGCTGTATAAATAGGGTTTGGTTGGTTTGAGGTAAACCGAAGTCTGGATTGTCTGGCTCATTTGTAACGCAACAAAAAATCTAATATTTCTTTCATTCCTAGTTACAGTAAAGGGCTTGGATAAAGACTAAATAATGCTAGACTAGATGTAGACTTAGTTCATTAATCTCTCATTAAAAAGATGTATCCTAAGTCCTAATTTTCTACAAAGATTGTAGTAAAGATTACAAAAGATGCACCTGATCAAGTTAGACTTCCAGTGAAACTTAAATACAGGACATCCTGGTTGGAAGGCAGAAGTGTTAGAGATAAAGCTCACCATCTGCTTTAAGAAAACATTGGCTCATTGTTTATTATATCAACAACATAAAGTGTGAGAAAGATAAACCCAACAGGAACAAGGAGTCTTTAACAGAATGGTTGGCACAGAATAAAGTTACTTGATCTAGGAGCCCAAGGGCTTTTTAGGCTTTTTAAAAACCTTGTAAAAGAGAAACCATACATGTATATAGAACATGGAAATTCAATGCAAAAGGAATTGATAATTAAGCCTTCTTTGTGGAAAGCAAGAGAATTGTGGAGGTCCACAATTCTCTTTGTTGCTTTGAAATTCATCCACATTTGTGTCTTCATTTGAGCTGTGAGTTACCTTATCAGAGGCAAAAACAAACCCAACTCATCAGTATCTGGTCTTTTGCAACATTTAGAGGAACTCTAATCTCAACGTATGTATGAGTAACAGAGTGCAGTTTGATTCAATGTCACACAGTGAGAGAAAATGTTTATTTGTATCCTTTCTGCACCGTATAGGATGGAAATATTCGGTTTCAGTTGAAAGAGTTTAAATCAGTTTCATTTTCTTTGAAGACTGTGAAGGATTACATCTATGATTATTTGCCAATATATCCTAAAAAAAGATTAACTTTTCTTCTGGAAGCTTGACTATTGTTTTTTATTTTACCCCTTGTGTTCATATTTTAAAGATGGAAGCAGCAGAAACCAAGTAAGGAGCCACCTCTAATGTATCCATCATAAAATTGATCATCTGAAGTAATTAGTAGTGTGTTTATTATCTATGTTGTGTAATTCTTTTAGAATCTTAAAATGGGTAGAAAACACTCACTGTGAAGGTATCTGGGGGCGGCACAGGTCAGACACTCATCGTTGCCAGGGCCCTGACAGGAATAACAGTGCTGGTGGCAACCTATGCAGGTGAACTGATCATCGTGCAGGTAAGTTCTCGTTGGGCAGGTCCCGTCGCCTGTGACGCCACACAGTAAAGTGTTGGGATCCAGTACTAGTCCCCTCTCGCACTGGGTGCACTGGTTTGGGTCTGGGCCACTGCAGCTCATGCACGTCTGGTGGCATTCTGCAGAGTCAAAGAGGTCAGACAACAGTTTTTCCTTTGCTTTTGTTTTTTTGTTGCTTTTTCCTTCTCCATAACTGCACAGGTATTAGGAAAGAAACTCCTATCTTACACACAGGAATAGTTAGTCCAGTGGTACAAACCTTGGGATTCTAAATCTCCTTTAGTAAAGGTTAAAGTTCTTGTTGTGCAACATGCAAATAGAGAAATATATTCTGTATGAATCGGTTTATTTGCTTTGGGTTAGGAAGCGGCTTCATCTTTAAAGAAATGCTACCGGGTTTTGAGGACCTCCCTCATCTTTGTGTTGTCCACTGTCACTAACATGCTAAACAGCTTTTGTCCACATGCTGTGTATCTTTGTTTGTGCCTGTTAAGACAGGTCTGACAGATGCCATTTGGGGAATATTAAATGCTGCAATGTTCAGTAACCTGCTGTTGTTTGAGGTTACCATCATGTAACCAGCTACAAGCACTTAATGATAAGTATCCAGAGTTGTTACCTCTCTAGAAAACCTTTCACAAGTCTATCTTTATTTTTAATCACACGATAGTCACCTCTGTATTGTAAGCTTTTTAATAAAGGTAATTCAATTATGCAGATATTTTAAAAAAATATGATAAAAACCTAAAGCCTTTTAATTTTTTTTATTTTTATCTTGAATCTAAAAACATCAGAAACAGACGTGTTTTATCTATCTATAATATATGCTAAAGAGAAAGTAGCATGACAAAAAATACAAAACAAAAACCTTTAAAACTTAGGAAAGGTGCATCCTCTTTTTTGGGGGGAAGCAGTATGAATTTTAAGACACTAACGATTTCATTCTTTTTTCACAGAGCTGAAGTATCCACTTAATATACCCTGAATTCTGTCACCTTTAAAAATTGGATAAAGTGAGCAGTTAACTGCATCTCAAATGTTCAATATTACATTCTTACTTGGTTCTACACCAAGATGCATAAGCTCTTTGTGTGTGCTGAATGAAAAGCAAACCTTATATATTTATAGGAAAAGTTATTATTATCAAAGTTCAACAAATTAATATTCATAGCTCCTAAAATCTAATGGAGTTGCTTGATTCTGTGGTTCCTAACATCATTACATCATAGTTCTAATACTTAGTTGTTGAAACTGTGGTAATTTGTCAATATAATATAATATAATACAATACAATATATATTATATGTACTTAGTACAAATGCATTTGTTTATTCTATTTTTCGCTGTTGTATTGGGTGTCTAAAACTCATTATTCCTATTTTGGAATAAGCTGGATGATGCTCGCTTCTGAGTATCCACCAAATCCATCCTGAAACAAACACTTTTAATGTTTGCTAGGATGGACTCATTTAACATGGAGGCACTGGACGTCACAGCCGCTAATAGCGCAGGAACTTCCAATGCAAAGTACATTCACGAAAATATGCCACAGGCTTATAGATGCATCGGTGGTGAACTACTAAGGTTTCAGTCTGATCATCGAACAATGTTTTAGTCATGAAGGTTTAAATAAATGTTTTTTTTATATATATTTTTCAGTAAAAACTTACAAAAAGTCTCTTTAAGTCCCATAAAGTTGCCATGAGCTGTTTTTGATCATTGGTGCAAAAATGGTAAGCAGTGCCAACTGCTTTATAAGGACAATTTTTCTTTAACTATGTAAACGAGTTACTAAAGAAAAATAATCCGTTGTCCTTTTTTTTGTCGTGTCCCTTAATTTTAATTATGCTGTTTTTTCTTTATCATTTTCTAACTAGCAGCTGAGTTCTTTGCAGAACAGCTACAATATGTTTAACACTGCTAAGGGAAATCTATTGCATTTCTTTTTAATTAGAGGTAAAGAAAGGGGCTAATTATAGAATGCATATTAATATTCAAAATTTTAATTGTGAAAAGGATTTTACTGTTAAGAGTACTAAAAAGTAAAATTTTAATAACATTTGTGAGAATACTATAAAAAAAAAATTTAAAAAAGTGCAAGAAATAGAATTTGTATTCTCACCTTGACACTCCATAGCTGCCACCTCATAGTATGTACCCATGGGACATTCTTTGAGACATGAACCTTTATAGAGTCTGGGACTGAAGGTCGAGCAGGTCTCACAGTCATCTGCCAGCGGCCCAGAGCAGCTGCCACAAGTAGGGTGGCACTGAGCACAGAGGCCCTCTTCCATGTCCTCATAATAACCCACAGGACAGCTGGCCTTGCACACACCGTTCAGCATCAAGTAGAGGAACGTACATTCTGTAGCATTAAGATAAGGTGGAAATCAGACCTTTGTGAGATCAAGTTTTGGCAATAATTCAGAACAGATCTGATAACTCACTGAAACAGGTTCTGTCATCAGAGCAAACGTCACAGTGAGGGGGGCAACGTCTGCAGGTCCCATCGTCTGCTGGGTATGTCCGCAGTGAACAGTTTAGTCTGCATGTTCCACTCTCCAGGTAATGGCCATCAGGACAGGACAGACACTGAAATTTGTTTTCATCACAGGTCAAACAGGAGCTATCACAGGCCTCACATAATCCGTCTGGAGTCTCAAAGGAGCCCCTGGAAATGAAACAAGGAAGACATTTGACATGAAAGTAAGTGGAAACGGCAAAATTACTTATTTGATTCATTTTAAGATTCTCTCCTATTGCTCACTCTGGGCAATTTGACCAGCATCGGCCTTGGTGCAGAAAAAGTTTGTTATTGCCTTTGGGGCAGCTGATGCAATTATCACTGCTGTCCACACAATCCTCACAGTTTGGTGAGCACTCTTCACATAGCCGGGTTGCAGGGTTTGCGTAAGAGCCTGATGGACACTGCACTACACAAGAACCCTCCAGATCTAAGAAATATCCTGGGAAACACACAAACATTCAAACATATACGTGTGTAAAAATTGGAATCATGTCCCAACGTGCTGTACAACAGAACAGTCGACATTTGTACCTTGGAAACAGGAGGAACAATCCAGTGCCTGTGGGCCAAAGCAGGTCTTACAGGATGCATCACATGAGTGGCATCCACCAAATGTCCCTGGAAATTAAACACAAGTTAAATAAATAGCAAGACTTATTTTACCCTTTTCCACCAGTAGAGGGTAGCATAATATCTTAAAACTGTAGGTGTTTTCAGACCACAGTTAATGAGAGCACAAAGTGTATAGAACTTGCAAAAAATAGCCTTATAGAAAAGGCCCTAAATGCTTAAGACTAAGAAATGTACCAAATAAAAGCATATTTGCAAAGAAACCTTTGCCCTGAAAAAACTGACACCAAGTAGTGGTATCCTTGACCCTCATGTAATTTTCCTCTTATCTGAGTATATTTGCATTTTGTCAAATGTCATACATTCAGAAACATACAGTACATGTAAAATTGTAAGCTTGCCTCTACTATTCCTACAGGTATTTAAAAAAAAGTGTAAGGATAGATGAGCAGGAATTAGGCTGAATTAAATGTTAAGTTAAATCCTGTATTTTGCCTGCAAAAATACAGCCTAAATAAAAAAATGTTTTTTACAAAATAATTGGAGACCAGCCTGGATTCACTGGAAATAATTGTGATGGCATAGACCCATCTGAGACCTTTTGAAAGGTCTTCCATTTGTGTTGAAGCGAAGATTTTGGGAAAGACAAGGACGTTCCCCATAGTATTCGGGATAATGAAAAACAGTGGAAAGGTCTGGAGCAGACTTCCTGGAGGTGTCTAATTGGTGATGAAGGGCCTCGGCCAGACAAGTAACCAGCAGAGTCTCACAAGAACCTTTGCAGAAGAGCAATTATCACCGTAGCTTTGGACTAATCAGGCTTTTATGATGCTGGAAGAAGCCAGTCCTCATGAAAAGGCACATGATGTCCTGCTGGCAGTAAAAGGGCTCAGAAACCATAAGAGACAAAGTCATCAGAACTGATTGAAAAAAGTCCAAAGTAGCTATGCCAACAGATGAATCTAACAACATGTAAACAGCAGCAGCTCCTCTTGTTTTTTGTCACAAGATAACCACAAGCATCAAAATGTTTTAAGGTTTTTTATAGGACAAATAAACATAGAGTAGCACATAACTGTAGAGTTGATAGAAAAGGTAATAAACAAAACTCTGCTGCATTTGGAGGATAAATAGCCCTGAAAGAGTCTAATTAGTACAAAGAGTCCAACTGTGTGTAGTTTCATTTGGGTTTAAATGCACATTTGAAGGCCTCTGAGATTTGTGAAAATGAACACTAAAGCAGAATGATTGATTTTTACAACATCTCAAATTTTAATGTTTCAGCTAGAAATAAAAGAAGCAAGAACCAAAGAACATCATTATCAGAGAAGTATAATATAATATAATTTGAAAGGGTTTTAGTCTTGTTAATATTCTGCCCAGCATTAAAAATTCTCCATTTAAACGTAGTTAGTGATTCATCCTTCTTCTAGTATGATTAAAATAGCTTTTATTTGGGTAAAAATTATGTATTTATAAGTTTATTTTCTGCTGTTTAGAAACACACTAGGCTGTACAACCTGGAAGTAGTGCAAAGGTCAGATTATAAATATGCACAACCAAAGCAAAGCTCATGTGGATAACTCTGCATGACCAAAACAACAGAGCACTGTTTCCCTGTGCTGTTGACCCAGACACAGAGGGAAAGTATTCAAAGAGCCAGACACAGCCAATGTTTGTGTGTTTGGTCTCACTGCCCCTACAGGGAGAAGCCACCTTACTAAGGTAGCTACCCTTGAACAGGACACATGATCCCCCCTTTGCTCCTGGGACAGGAAACTAAACTCTAACATGCCTCTGAAGGTGGAAAGGAAATCATTTCTATCCTCAGATCAATGCCGTCTCTGCATAATTATTTTTGTGCGCAGTCTTAGGTATGATGCCAGTGTGCCAACAGTTTTTTTCACTTTGCTTTCTCTGCCTAACTTTATTATAAGGAATCACATATAAATCACCAGCACTTAAAATCATCCATCTCTAAAATGACAAACACTTGGCAATAGTCAAAATAAATAAAGACTGCACTTCCTCTTTTAATTAAACTGTAATTTATAGTGTTGGGTTCCGATCCAGCAAATAACAGATACAGATGACAAATGACTGGAAGAAGGGAAACCGAACAAATAATTAAAACATCTTGCAAAACAGTTTTAAACTGATGCAATGTTCTGACTATAACTCATACATATCTATTTTAATGGATGTGACTCATGATTCTTATTGTTGATGCTGCTATTGTGGGTTATTGTTTTGATCTCCAGGCAAGTGCAAAGCATCAGGTTAAGAAATGTTGACCCAAAGAGCAGAGAAGGTAATGTATAAAATATTATTAATGCTTTAACTTAGAGGATGGAACAGCTGTCTAACATATTCCATAAGTACGGTTTCTGACTAAAAATGGTGTTTGGACACAACTTTGGATACTGCTGATTAAATGAATACTGAACAGAGTATAAGTGAATAGGTTTGGTTGTTTCAGTTACTTTTGGGCCTGATTTGAATGTCATTTTCACTGCATTCTACAACCTGGAGTTAGTAGCAGTTTGTCACATACTCAATTAACTACACAACGTGCAAATGCATGGTGTGAAGAATAACTCATGGCAGCCAGTGAGATGTTTTATTGTGGTGGAACTTTTACAGTTACATTTATTTGTGTCACCACTGAGCTCTGTGATGTTGTGTTATATTTATTTTTGTTTATTTCTCTTAAACTGCACAAGAAAATAATGAAATTATGCTCATAAGCCCTGATCTACTAAAATCCCAAATGAGAGGCACGAAATTGAATAAAATAGGCACTAAATTGAATAAATGAAAAAATAAATTGAATGAAACTAAAGTTCAAAATACGTATTCTATGTGCAATTAAGGGGCATGTTCTGAGTGATCTGTTTAGATTGCATAAGCAGATGATAATGGGTAAAAAAAAGTGGTGCGGATCACTTATTTAAATGAGGATTTCTTATTGTACTTTTGTGTATTTACATACCTTTAGTAGATAAGGCCCCATACCTTAGTTATACATTAGAGAACAAATAGATAACTAAGAATAGCTATGCAAACATTTAAATAGGGAAAGAAATGTCTACAAAACAACATTCCAAACTTTGAAAATCTTACAGAGCACTGTTCTATCGACCATCTGACAAAAAAGGGAGCAGCACAGCTAGAGTCTAAATTGACATGGCTGTTAATTTCGTTTAATAACAAGCTATGAGGCTGATAGTACCTCTGAAGGAGCTGCTGAGATTCAGTGCACAGGACAATCTTTTGTTTGAAATGTTACAAATGTAGACTTGATGAAAGTGTGGCAAAAAATGTGCCTTTTTTTGAAAGATTTTTTTTTTTAAATACTCTTTTTGCAAAAAATGAGATAAATAAGATGAAAATTCTGCTTTTTTTCTTTTTTCTTTTACACAATAAACTATGTGGACAGACTAACTTTAGAGATAATGATTCTCCACAGTGGAAGATAGTGATCACAGCATCATGTTATAGAAATACTTTTCTTTAGCAGAAACAAAGAAAATATGAAGAGTTGGTGGCTACATTTAATTGACCTAGATTGTGGGTATCCAGGAAGAGAACTTGTTAGGACCACTTGAAA